TGAGTCGCATCCCACACCTGTAAATCTCAACCACTGCCCCTCCCCCACCCCCTTCCCCTCCCCCCATCTCTCTCTCTCACACACACACACACTTTTTTATTGAAACAAGGGGGAAAATTCCAAAACAAGACACTTAACATTCTCCTCCGGTGGCCTCTCCACACACATGTGCTGTGCACAACCCCCATATACAGAAGCTGGAGGAACATAGCATACAGAGCAGCAGCCTACGAGCCAGGGCCCTTGAGCCCCTACTCCTCCAGACTAGAGACAAGCACTTAAAATTCCCAATTCAAATACCTGGAGAGGACTGCCCCACCTTTAAATGTCCAAATGGGAGGTCTGAACTTTAGTCTTTCTCCAGTGTTGAGTCCTGAGTTTCTTGGAGTCCATGAAAAGCCTTTTCTCTCTACTGTTTGCAGTGTCTCTTGGGTCATCAACTGGTTTTGTAGGACTCTCAAAGTGAGTGGCAGGGGTGATAATACCCATTTGCTCTGCATTGAAGAAAGCCTAAGCCCTAAGGTTTGTCTCTAGGAGCCACCAGATGATTTAAAGGCACTGTGACCTACCCCTAGGAAGGGTGTCCCTCCCAGGATGACCATACCCTAGAGTGCATGTCCCCAGAACTCTTGCCTGCTTCCTCTTTCTACACGCCAGCTCCCATATCTCAGATAACACCTTGTGTTCTTGAGGCTGGAACCACCTGCCCATCTTCACTCCCACCAGGAAAGACCTTCTTTCACCTCAGAGTCTCACAGAAGGTCCCTGACCAATCTAGTGGGATCCCATGTCTGTTCTAGGTCATGAAGTTGTGGGGAAAATGCATACATAGCCCCATAGTAGAGCTGGTGGAGGGACAGTTCTCAAAAGATGAAGCATCATGACCAAGAAGATGATGGGCCATTCGGTTATCATTTCCTTCATGGTGAGGAGCTGGCACAGAGGACCAATCACATTGTCTGAGGCCTGGTGACCAGGAAGCTGAAGCTGATTTTGAAGTTGGGAAATCTGATTGTGAAGGTCATAGTTCATCACTTCTTTCTGTCTACATCCTACTGTCACGCAGGGCCGTGACTTCTTCAGGTCAGGGACAGAGCCGAGCTTTGACTCTGTGGTAAAGGGGTCTATTTCTGAGTCTCAGTGGATTCTTCTAAGGGTACAGTAACTATGAGATAGTCCTGGGCTGGGTGTCAGGGGAACTATGCTTATGTGGCTTTCTGTGTGACCTTGAGACAGTCACTTTCTTTGAGTTCAGCATCCTATCTGCTCAATGGCATGATTGTCCCTGAGTCCCTGCCCTAGGCATTTAGTAGGACTAACGAGATAATTCCATGAATGAGCTTTCAAAAGCTGAAAAGCCCACACAGATGTGAGGATTATTCTTATGATCCCTAGCCCCACAGGATTAACTTAAATTACGGAGACAGGAGGGATGGGGCTCCCCAAAAGGTCCAGCTGTCCAGAAGCCTTGTTCAAATAAAGCAATACAGCCAGTTTTGCAGGGTCACCTCTGATTTATTTATTTTTAGGAAGTGATTCATACTGGGCTTCCCAGATCTCCCCAGAACCACATCTCACCCCTGTCTTAGCTGCACACATCGGGGGGCCATGGGTTCTTCCTCCCTCAGGCCAACAAATGAAAACTAGAAGCCATTTCCTAGGATGGCTGCTGGCTGTGTTTCTTATTGCTGCCTGGAAACTTCCAGCATGGTAAGAGGCCAGAGAGAGGGTCACAAAGCAAGAGGGTTGTGTCAATAGAACTCCTGGTGCGCCTCATCGCCCAGCTGAAGGACTTCTAGGACTCATGGGTGAATGTCACCCCCCAGCAATCCCAGAGCAACAACCATGTTCCCTAATGGTTCTCATCCAGATCTCTTCCACACAAAAGCTTCTGGGGGACCAATGTTCTGAGAATGGATGGGTGACTTAACAGCATGTCCTGCTTTTGGAGGTGGAAAGGGCAGGTGAGCCAGGTGACACTGGGCACCCTGGACTCTTTCAAAAAACCAACCTGCCCATATTTGTCAAAGAAATTCTCTCTGCCTCTTGGACAGCCCATGAACACCTAAAATTTAGAGGGGTGCCAAAGGACTCTAAAAAAGAGAAAAATTATATCCGCCCCACTCCCCCGCAAACACCTCAGAAAGAGCTGGTGTGTGAGTGTGTCCGGCATGGTGGCTATGGGACAGCCATCACTGATAGACAGCTGAGACAGAGCTGAACAGGAAGAACTCAGTGTAAAGGGAGGACTGGCTCATAGGCTCACACCTCCTTTCGGAATGCCTGGTGTGGGACTGAGAACACAGCCAAGCACACGCCAAGAGGTGCAAGCCAGGAGCTATCCAAGGTATGCACCCGTAGGCACAATGAGTCACACTGGGTGGGTGGCTTGTGTCTAGCAGTCAGGGAATGAGATCACAGGCTGCAGAGGACGGAGGAGTCACCCCTCCCGGGTGCTGTGCTACCACGTTGGCACACACTCACCCATTCTGTTCTCATGTCAACTCTGTGATATATGCGATGTCATTGTTATCCCAGCACTGAAGAGGGGGAACCGGGATGAGGCACAGTGAAGCTGTAGAGTTCCTGAGCAATGCAGGAAGGGTGGGTTTCTGCCACCAGGCTGACTAGGGAACTTACACTGGAAAGCCACA